GAAAATCAAAGGTAGACAAAAATCAGTCAGGAGGGATCAGAAGAGAGCAACGGTCTGCCAAGCCATTCCCTGCTTCAGAGTTTTGTAGTTTTGCACCTGCTGTCGCTTTAATATTAAACTAACGAGGTTGAAATTGTCACGGCGAGTGAGATGAGCCGTGTGGAAGTAATAAAGGAGGAGGTGTAAAGGTGGTTTATTAAACACAAAATAAAAATAGACAAACGGCAAACGGAGAATGAGCTAAACTATACTGGGAACAACTAACTACTGAACACCAACCTGAACATGAAGGAAGATAGACAATGGTATATGATGGTGACAGCAGGGAGAACACACGAATGGAACATGGTAGAAACACAGACAGACCAGCGACTACTACAGCAGAAGACACGACTTAAATACACTCAGAGAAACACAGGGAGATTACACACAGGTGGGGGACACAGCTGGGAGTAATTAACGAGACGAGACAAGGGAGGTAAAGTGAACACACCCACATGAGACGCAGACCTTCACAATAAAACAAGAACAAGACATCACTACACAAAGACGCAGACCAGACACAGAACTAAACCCACACAAAACATGAGAACACAAACCCTGTGAACAAAACCCTAAACCAGAACCACAGTAATATAATCTATTGTAAATAATCAAAACACCAGAGAACCCCAAAACACTCCATAATGCAAAAATAAAACCAAAACATAATAAACGTAAAATGCTGGGTCGAACCGACCCAGAACCGTGACACAAATAGACTCACAGTGGTTTCTGCTTCTTAATTGGACAGATTTATATCCCTTAAATATAACTAAATTTGTGTTATCATCAAGCATAACTTATTTTTTAGCAGTGTAAAACCATCTCATACCAAAATATGAAAGATCAAATAACAAACGTAATGGAAGTTTTTGGGCTTCACGACTACTTTTCTCTCTTTTGTCTCTATAAGCACTAGGATCAGCACCTTCAAGCAGGCTGACCTGGCATCACGCAGCATCCAGTACGTCCACACCAGCGAAGAAGAGAAACATGCCGACCAGTTCTCCTTCACCATGTCCGACGGGACAAATTAGGTGAATGGCAGAAGATTTTTAAGATACCTGGTAGCTTTCTAAAATTCACATTAGTTGTTTTCTTTTGTTTTTAATTGATTTATTGATTAGCATTCAAATATCTCAGTGAATACAGAACAAAGATTACCACAAAGCAAGAAAGCACGAGTCAAGGCTAATCAAAAGGTATTGGCTGGAGCATATGCTTCAAATGAATTAATTTGCTTTGAAACTGTATTTTATCCTTTAAAATTTGGGTCTTGAATAATTTTAGATTCACCTCTCACCATTCAATTTCAGTTCCAAAATTCAGTTTTTTGGGACTTACATCTGGTTCCGGTTCAAGAGTAATCGAGCGCAGATTAATAGCCCTGGATTCAGCTTTGACAAACAAATATGATCGACTGTTTCTAGTAGAATTCCAAAGTTGTCATCTTGGACCCTCTCAGAGCCCTGTATGCTTGCAGAGACCCCTGCAGTAGGGAAACATGCAAAGCAGTGTCCAAACCTTTGTGTTTTAGCTTTATTTATGTCTTACACAGCATCCCAACTCTTTAGCTAACTTAAATACTTTAGCTAAAGTGAATAGATAGTCTAATTCATTAGTGCAGCATTACTGGATCACCTGTTTGAAGTGATATAATATGATATACAACTATCACTGAAACAGCAAACTTTGTAAATAAACAAACAACACTTCTCATTCTCTAAACATTTGGCCACAGCTGTAGATTACACTATCAGTGCTTGTTCACTCTTGACAATAATTACATTTCTAAATTATCTTTGTGCATTTACAGGTAAACAATATCTAATATTTTATCTAAATGATTGCTTTGTTTTTGAAAAGGTGAAGAGCCTGAGGTCGGTGACAGTCCAGTTCTACTCTAAGGACAGCCTTCTTCGCCTGGCTGTGACGTAATCGGCCTTCAAATGCGGCCTCTGAAGGATGCAGCTGATGTTTTGGGACACAGCTACTATGTCGATCTGAGACAGCAAGACCGAGACAGCGAGACCAAGACAAGACCAAGACCACGTAAAAGGTCTCGAGACCAAGACCGGTCTTGAAACATCCAACTCTACATTTTGAAGCTTAAATATGACTAAAGAACCCTCTTGGATGAGAAGTAAAACGTCTTCAAGAACCTAAGTCATGTTGCCTTCTTTTCAAAACACTGAATACCCACATGGGCATGAAGCAGGTAAACCTTTACCTGTCTACCCTGGATTCACAGTGACCTCTTGTGGTTAAAATAATGCAGTACAGTTAAATGAGCCCAAGAAGATTTTCTTGTAAGATTCACAGACCTCTGTTGAGGTCAAGGGCGTAGATTTGGTTTTGGCATTGGCACTTTTTTTTTCCTTTTTGTTTTTGCTTCTTAATAAAAAGAGGAGAAATATACTTGCCTACATATGCTATTCTACGTGCTTTTAAACAATTTAAAATTACAATTTATAGTTTTATATGTGAATTATATAATGTTAAATTACTATTAAACAAATGACTGACTAAGTATTTTAGGCTTTAGTTTACTTCAGCCATATAAATCAGGTATCATACAAACATAAAAATAGCTTCAAACACAGTCATGGCAATAAAAGAATATGACTTTAAGGACTTAACATCATTACTTCAGTTATACTGCACCAACATCTCTTATACATTAGCACTAAGGGAACACTGAATGATCTGGTGATTTTTGTCCATGAAACTACTCATCTAAGTTTACCACAAAGTAAAAGATCTCTCAGCAAAATTATGCAACAGTTTAGGCACTACTGCCCCGATCAAATCAGTGAGCTGGGATTTTTTATTCCAAACATGAACTACTGTTACAGCAACAGACATGGACTACATGTCCCACACAACAACTCAATGTCCACTATGTGAAGGAGCCGAACACATGCCTGCTCCTCTCGTTAACTGAGATAAACTGCTGGCACATTTGTTTTACATCTATGCTGTCCAGTCTCTCCTGGTGGACATACAGCAGCATTGTTTAATCTCATTTGAGTCATTGTTAACCCTAGCCATCTTTTCAGTCTTCTGAGAGCACTGAAGCTTCTTTCAGCCTCAGTACATGCGTTTTATCCTCAGATTACAATTATTATTCTGTGCTTGATGTGCCTCACCTTTGGCCCTGGCTCTTCCCCTCTGACTGCACTAGGACATATTGCCACCTGATAAAATAACACATTGATTCGTGCCATATAAAAAGCGAGACATGTCAATTCAGATTCTTTGTCAAATATACACTAATGAATCAATTTACATCAGCAGCCTAACAATTGTCATGATAATAAATACTAGTTAATCTATAGCACCAAAACATCAGTCAGTCACCTGTGACCTCGCCTCTTCACCTCTGTCTGAGCTACAACATGGCAGAGCTGCCTCAGTCACCTGATGAATAACAGTGAGACATTCCAAATACATGCAGTCACACATGTGCTTCAAATACAGTCATGAACAACCGGGTCATCATCCAATTTCACCTGTGATCTTGTGTCACCATTACTCTCTATCACCTGACAAATAGGACATACATGACAATAAGAATAAAATGTGTAGCTGCTTCAGTGTTTCTGTCAATTTGTGCAGATCTTGACTCATCAGTAATGTTTGTAGGGTGAGTGCATTTTTAAAACAATTTGTGCAAACTGCACTACAAGGTGGAATATTTGCAAAATCATGACTACCTCGTGATATATTGTCTCAAAAATTAACCCTATGAATACGTCAGTGCCATTAGGATGAAATTATTGTGTCACCAACATTTTAATGTTAGACATATAATTTTAACAGCCTCTGTAAACGAATATCCTGGTTCGCTCAAAGCTGCTGTTTTCTCTGACAGTTTCAATCAAAATTAGAAATGCTGCTCTGAGACTAAGAGAACTAATAGTGCTGCCTGTTGTGCAGTTAATTTCCAAAACACATTATTCATGGTTACATACAGTTTTAGACTGATGTGGGCCAAAGCCTAGCATAGCCTGTAACGTTATTATGACGGACACATTTTATGAGTTAATTTGGCTTTAAGTGACTTACAGGTTTCTTTGAAACACTCTCTTATATCCAGCTTCTTCCTTTTTGCTGCCATCCTCCTCGCAGCGCAGGTTTACCGCTGCTAAAACTAAACAGAGCTCCCTGAAAGGCTCAGCCAATCACATCGGCCATATTTGTCACATGAGGTAGGACTCCAGTAGAGAACGTAATTTAACTCTTTCTGCACCGCTGGGTGAATGAGACGGTGACAGATCGTTTTTTCTTTCTATCGGGTTTGATTTTCTTTACTCGAAGAGATCAAATTATTGGTGGGGACAATTCGATAATCGCTGGATATTGGTGGGGACATGTCCCTTCCGTCCATGCCAAATCTACGCCCTTGGTTGAGGTAATACTGTATGGAACCAGATTAACAGATTCAGAAATGATAACAAAACGGAAAAACATATATATTCTTGGTATAAATATGCAGATCACCCTAACCCTAACAAAATGATTACAGACTTATGGCTGACTTTTTTGTTTTTTGCCAGCTTAATAGTTAGGTTATAAGGATAGTTAGGTTATAAGGATATATATATATATATATATACAAAATTCGAGTCACTGTTACATTTTTGATTTCGTAACTCACATTTTTGATAAAATAACTAATAAATAACTTTAACTATTTTTTATTTATTAGATAAAAATATGAAATGTTTTGATAGTTACACAATTTTTTTTTAATCTCCAAACAAGCTTCCATAGTTTTCTGTTTTAGTTTCTGTAAAAATTTTCAGCTTATCTTTTTTGTTTTATCCCGTCTTGTGAGTTTGAAATACGACTAGTCAGAAGAAGGAAAAACAGCTGTAGTACATTTCCACTCTTGCTATAGGCTGCAGGCCGTCACGTGTCTTCCATGCGTCAAGCCCTGTGACTCCGCCCAACGGCTGCTGTGATGTTATGAAAGCAGAGCAGTGGGTGTGACGAGCGGGGTTCTGCGGCTACAGACTCACAAACGGGTAAATTAACTCGTCTTTTCTTCGCTTTTATGTAAAAAGCCGCTCACTACGGGCTCTGTAGCATCTGTATTCAGATCTGCCGGTGCTTTGTGTCCGTGTGCAGTCGTGGCAGGCTGTGATCCGTCTGCAGTCCATGCAGTCCGTCTGCAGTTTAATACATAACACAACACGCAGCATCACGTGTGCGCGGCAGCAGTCGGGACAACACCGTGCCCTGTTGGGTTTATGCAACTTTATGCAATGGTTTCAGTGTCGTGCAGCATAAATACACAAAGGTGGATTTATATGTGTTTTAAATTAAATGTTGTTTGTTTGGGATTTTTAATGTGTTTTAGCGCTTAACCGCATTTCAGTGGTTTTTAAGTAATTATTTTCATGTAAAATCAGTTCTGTCCCCATAAGGTCACAAGGTGAAACACGTGGTGAAGTTATGAGTTATTTGAGTGGGTTTTTTATTTGTTTGTTTTTGGGGTTTTGTTTTTGTTTTTGGCGTTTTCTGAATATTAAAAATAACAAAGTGTCCAGGTTGAGCCTCCTAACTATAAATATTTGCTGGTTTTCATAGTCATCATCAATGGTAAGGTGCATATTTTGTATGGCGATATTGTTGCGATACAGGGATACACAGGACAAACAACTGCTGAATGTGTCTGTCTGTTTCTGTCATTGTGGACAGCAACAGATTTTTGACCATGTCTCAGTTTCGGTGTCCAGAAACAGACTGCATGTTATTGCCAACTTGACCACATTCAAGTGCAGACTGATATCACACTGATGACAGACCAGTATCAGACTGATTGGATATAGTTTAACTTTTGTTATCTGCAGTTGAATAAATGTGATAAAGCCGACTACTCAGCATATCACACAATTTTACTATAATATCATTTTGTGCAGTGTCTGGTGATTCTCAATGTAATATTTGTGATGAAAAAGTCAGCATAGGCTCAAGAAAATTGTTGCTGTTATTTTTCAGTATTTTCAGAGCAAGTGAGTTAACTGTGAATGAGGAAAATCACCTGATTGCCAGCTGGCAGCTGACAGTATGAATGTTGTGACGAGCAGTCATAAGTGGTACATGACACGAACGCTGCAAATCCTCTGTAATGCATCATGGAGCACATCTTTCATCTCGGTGTGTAAAAATTTAAATCTTTCTCATTTGTTCTGCACAGATCCACTACACTCTTTAGCAATGCTTCGCATCACCTCTGCCACCCTGTACACCTGCTCACAGAGGGTGAGGCTGCTCCTACCTCCTTCAGCCTCCACCTCCACTGAGACCTCTCCCAGCAAAAGAGTGGAAAACCAGCGCACAGTGGACTCCCTTTACGAGCTTTCAGTGGACATTCGAAAGGTCCGCAAGTTCAGAGGCTGGGTTCTGTCTGAGTGCTCTGCGTATGTCTCTGAGACCGCTGACTTGCTGAGAGACATGGGTGCAGACACAACGGCTATCGCCCACATCCTGGAAACTCACCCTGAGGCTATCCTGTGTCGCCCAGAGGACGTCGTCACACAGCGAGACCTCTGGTTGTCTGTCTGTCCCAGCAAACGTCAGTTGATGAACATTGTTGAAAAGTTCCCAGCCTCCTTTTTTACACTTACTCACCAAGGTAACCAGCGGGCCAACATCCTGTACCTCCAGAACCTTCGCCTTAGCAAGAGGATCATCAGCAAGCTGATGGCCAGTGCCCCGCAGAGCTTCAGTCAGCCTGTGGAGCGCAACCAGGAGGTCATCCACACGCTGAGGGAGATCTACCTCGACCTGGGTGGAGAGGAGAGGAACCTACGTGTCTGGCTGCAGAAGCTTCTCAGCCAGAACCCTTACATTCTGCTGCAACCAGCTGAGGCTTGGAGGGACAGTCTGGGCTTCCTGAGGGAGAAGGGGTTCACCACGGAGGAGCTCCTCAGCCTGGTCTCCAGTCTCAGAGCCTCCATCGCAGAGCTGAAGCCTGAGGACATGCAACGGGCGATGGACTACATCGAAGCGGCTCTCTGCTGCTCTAAAGACGGACTTAAGCAAGTAGTGATCCGCTGCCCTGCCGTCTTGTACTACTCCTTGCCCACCTTATTGGGGCGGTTTCAGGGGCTGATGGACGCAGGAGTGACGATGGATCAGGTGAAGGAATCTCCAAATGTACTCGAGCTCACCACGCAGATCGTGCTGTATCGTATCCAGAAACTAGCCTCCTACGGATACGACATTCGCTCCGGCAGCCTGGCCGTTATTGTGGGAACAAAGAAGGACTTTGAGGCGAGTTATGGCAAGCTGCAGCTCAGGCAGCAGAGGCCACTCTTCAACCCTGTGGCTCCTCTGAAATCTGCTGAGGATTGAGTGTCGGTGCGCACCTTGTTATGAAATGTGGTTTACTGCTTCAGCTTTGTGCAAGGAAAATAAGAAAAGCCAGGCAAATTAAAATCCCACAAAAGGCTGAAGACTGTTCAGGAAATATGACACTATCTGTAAAAGTTTCCAGTTTGGGAAGTGCCTGTTGTGTGTGTGAAACAGCTGCTTTTCTTCTCTGAGAGAAGACTTAAACTGCAGCACAGAGTCTGTACGGTTTTTAACCCTCAGCTGTAAAAGGCTGATGGGGTGTTGTCGTCACCCAGACGGGTGGCGTGGAAACGCAAGTTTGTGAATGTGATAACTCAAGAACCAGGCCAAGTAGGCGCTTCAAATTTATACCATAGGTGTATCTATAAAGTCTATTCAGTGGCCTCAAGGTTAGAGGTCAAATTTTCTGAAAATCTTGTGAATGCAATAACTTGAGAACAAGGTGATGTAGGATTTTGAAATAGATATCACAGGTGTGTCTCCTTTGGAGGATGTGTGTGATAGGTGTTGTAGTAGTTAAGAACGGTGACAGATTCTTTGCCTTAACAGAAGTCCATTCATTTTTCTCTGGCCAAACAAAACCATTTTATGCATGAGAAAATAAATTATTTAAAAAGTGTTTTTACTATTTTGGTGATTTTTTTGTTTGTTTGTTTGTTTTATTTTTTTGCTCTTTTGAGGGAAGGCCAAGACTTATTTTTTTTCTTTAATTGTTCATTGATAGTGAAGCCGTGGCATGCAGGCCTACCAGATACCGCTGGTATCGTTTGACAACCAGTGGAAAAAGAAAGGGAGGGTGGGACATGGAAGTGAGGATAAAAGGTTGTATGCTTGTTTGGAAAATCAAGCATTTTCGTTGTGGCTGTAAGGGGAGTGGTCAGGATGTGGTCCACCTTGTGATATTTGGATAAATTACCTCCAAGATTAAAACAGCATCAGATGGTCTTTAACCTGCCAGCTCACTAATACAAAGTCCACAGTGGTTGCACTGATATGCACCAGTGTGAGTGTAGAGAAAGTGAGACTACACTTAAGCCCTATGCAGTGTCTGGGCCGCGGGTTCAGTAGGTCAGACTTTTACTGGCTACCAAATAAAGCCACATATAAATCTAACACCTTACCTGTAGTGAGAACACTGACAAAGTACACTCACTGACCACTTTATTGGGTACACCAAACAAACAAACACCCCCCCCCAAAAAAAAAAAAAAAAAAAACCAACAGCAGCCAACATGTCTTACCATACTCTTATCAATTATGGATCCCCAACCTCCTCTTATAACAACTATGCTCTGTGCTGAGTCTGCATAATAAATGGTTTGAAAAACTTTAATATAATAATGTAAAACAGCTCTATTACCGGGTTGCTTTGTGTACAGGTCTATGAAGTGGCAGGGTGATTTTTCCAGTGTCTGTACTGAATAATGCTACTTTAATAGCTCTACGTGGTCGAGACTGAAATGTTGTGCCTGTTTGTCATCCTCTGCTTCGCCACAAATAGTTATTTAACTTCTTTAATGACTGAGCCTCAGGTTTGATAACTAAAGGCATCACACTAAAGCCGGTGGAATATATTAAGATCTCTAAAAATATTCTTAGACACTACAATAGGTCATCCAGCCAATTGGGTTGCTTTTGAAGGTACCATTGTAATGTGTATCAACTTGAATGAAAACCTGCAAATCTAGTAAGGGCTGATTACATTTGGAAACTGCAAGTTTTTCTCAAAGATTGAACTCTGACTTTTGAGTTACAAAGAAAAGACTGAAACTATTGTATATTTGAAACTGTTTTAATTAAACAAGCACATTGAGAAGGAACAAGAAGCAAGTGGAGCATTTCTCTCCAGTGGTACATTTATTAGGGAGTATATGGGTGGTGGGGTGGCACACCAGGAATATGCAGGCTCTGCAGTCCTCTCACCTTTTCTCAATTAACACAGACGAGGGCAATAACATGATGGTTTGTGTCATATAGAAGTTTGAAGGAATAAAACGAGTCCACTAGTACTGAGACACAGAAAGGATTTTTGCTGATATTTACACTTGATGGGCTCAATGTGGAAAAACTTTAAAAACTCGGGTGCATTAGCAGACTTTTCTGACCATTTATGTTTTAATGGAAGGTCTAAAAATGCATTTCTTTTTATTGAAAATTTTCCCAAAAGAACGATCAATCCACAATGAATTCTCATATCAAAAATATATCAACAGGTCTATGGCTACACAAAGAGAGAAAACACACATACAATATCCAAATATGTACACGTTGTATGTGAGCTGCTTTTAGCAAATTCATTATATACACAAAGACGTTAGTCTCGGCATTATTAACCCAAACAGGAGCACAGTGTAACATCACTGGCTGGCCCACACTGTAATAATATTCAGTCCGATTAAGTTGAGAAACATGTTTTGTGACAGGTGGGGATGCCCGTCCTGAAGGTGTGTTCGTGCATTGTAGTGCTGTAAGAAAGATTTGAGTCCATTTTAGCGTCCGTTTAGTTTTGGCTGTGCTCTCGATATGATTGACGGTGAGTCCACAGAAACACCTGCAACAGAAGAAAGAACAATAAGTGGCATGTTCAGACATTTCTGAAAATACATTTAACTCCTTCAGTGCTGACTTTTTCAGCGCACTGAAAAACATTCCAACATTACATCTTAAGGAAAACAAAACATTGAGAATCTGACCTACAACTTTTCCTGTCACATGACCTGAGGTGAGTGAGGGTAATCTGCTGAAATCAGGTGCTTTGAGACCATACAAATATTTACTGCATTACAGGAACTCTGAGTGAAGTAGGTGTACTGTTACTGGTCCAGATGTGTGTCTGCTGTTTGATCGACGAATGAACGGAACACCGGGAATCCGGCATTTAAAGAACATAAACACTGATTTAAAAAAAAAATCAGCCATGTCAACAAACACTCAACTATCTTCCTCTCATCTGAACTCACAATCACAATGGTAGCAGCTGTTTCAGTTAAATCCACAGCAAAGCAAAACAGATAAAATAAAGAGGCTGAAACATGACTACAAGGAAATGAAAGCAACATGAGGAGGTGCTGCATTTAAACCTCTGGCTGGCAATTACATCACTTCAGAGTTCCTCTTAACAGTGGTTAGTAAACTGCTATTAATTACTGACTTAAAATTTGCGTATCTCATTGTGTGGATATTGTGGATTATAAAGGCAGGAATGGCTGATAAAAACACTGAAAAGGTTTGGCTCATGCCTGCCTTGTTCAGATGGTTTCTACTGGCAGAAGTACGTTTCGCCGTATTATTAAAAACAAGGAATAAAATTCCTATTTCTGACCCCCCTCTCTGAATGCTGCTCACTAAAGTACGTCTTGTATGTGTTTTATATAATAATAATAATGTGTGAGACTGCAACTGACCTCTTTAGTGGATGCTCTGTCTCTGGACTTTGGAGCTTTTGCTATTTCCAGAGTCCTCACTGTGTCGTTTGCCACTGGTCTGAGTGGTGGGGTGGTGTTCAGGCCCTAAAAAAAAAACATAAGAGCACATTTCAATAAACCATGAAACTAGAGACTAAATACAAAAACATGGCTTAGAATGAAAACACTCTCTTAGGGGTGGCGTGCAGTGATGGTCAAACAGAGGACTGGGACTCAAGTTTTTCAACCAGTTAAGAAAGATTAATAAAAGAAATCATCAATCAGTGAAATGTTTCACTCGCACCTTTTTGAATTACAGGACCAGGATTCTGCTGCGTGCCTTGAGTGTAACACATCATACTGGTACTGGCAGCGTAACCTGGAACTTCAATTAAGATTCAAGGATTAGCAGCGAAACACTGAAGAGGATGCATGAAAGGATGCAGTTAATGCATGAAGCACATAAAGTACGCAAAACTCGTTCCACTTGGGGACCGGTTTCATATTGTCCAATCAACTGGAATCCTTTTTTTAAAAAAAGCTGCTTTCAGGTGCCTTATTTACTTTATTTACCAGGGGTCACCACGATGGGTACGCCACATTCTTTAATGCTGGATGCCCCAGAGGCACTTGTGTCTCCTCCTGAGATCAAACCACTACACTATAAAACCATTATGCAAACACCTGCTATATGTTCAAATATCCATCCATTGTCTTCCACTAATAGGCTGACTCTATCCCAGCAACTCACATTCAAACCTAAGGGCAATTTACAATCACCAGTTAACCTAACAACACTCATTGCATGTCCGTGGGAGATAGCCAGAGTACGTGGGAGAACCCACGCACACACGGGGAGAATGCGCTGACTCCACAGGAAAGAGCTTCCTGCTTCGAGGCAACAGTGCTAACTGCTGCGCCACCGTGCAAACACTGAAATATCATTCTACACAACATGTGCACCACATATCAATGGATGTGGTTTTCTGAACTAAACCACTGAACTAAATCTGAACAGCCTAAAATGTTCTTCAAAAAACACATTTTTTGAAGACATTACATTTAATTAATCTGTAAAAACAGGCCCCCTGAGCAGTTTGCTGTTATCAAAGATCTAAAAGATCTAAATGAAATGCTGCGATCAAGACTACAATCATGTTAAATTTGTTTAAAGAAATGTAAACATGTTTCTTTGTTTTTGTTTTTATTAAAAAATATGTTAAAATGCTGTGATCAGAAAACCATCCACTCCATGTAGACCTGACAACAAATCAACACAAACAAATGTACTTCTACGTGTTATGACGGTGTAGGGGCAGTGATAAGCATCGCCACCTCATAACTACAAAGTTTGGAGTTTAAATCAGCTGGTTGTGTCAGGAGGCAAAACGTCCTAATACCTTTCTACCAAATTTAGACTTAAAGGGACCACTGCTCTCTTCTTAATGGTGTGTGAAATTTAGCAAAGTCATGTTCAATGGGTTTCTCTGGGTAGCAAAGAGCCAAAGCTTCCCAGCCAATCAGCACGCCTGTTATTGAAGGAAAATATCCTGCAGGGTGAGCAGATTATTTTTCTTAGAATGACAGATGGGTGATGGTCAGCTGCAACTAAAACTAACTGTCTTGTTGTTTAGACTCATAAAAATGTAGAGTCTACAATAAAAAAACAACAACCTGGAAACTGAGATAATCAGTGATACAGTCCAGTTATAGCACCAGTAAAAACGGCACACACAGGAAAACGATAAGCATCAAGTGGATAATCGAGTGAAGGTGCACGGGTAGTTAGTCCCCACCTTGTTGGTGCATGCCGACGCTGGTTTGTGGATCCCCCTGCACGTACATCATGACACCACTTTGCCAGTCTCCCTGGGAGTGAACTGGCATCTGATAGGCTGAGAAATAAATAAAAGAACAAACAGGTCTTCTTCAAAGAGTTCACTGCCAGAGGCTACACAGGAAGTCATGAAACATCCACAAGTTTGAAGTGTCAGAGGAGGAGGAGTGGGTCTCCGAGCCACTTACTAGATGGAGCTGCAGCATCACGTGAAGTCTCAGAGAATCGCATCGAATCTGAGGATGCCTCAGCGTTTCCGTTTCCATTTCCATTGCCATTAGAGCCAGATGGAACTGTAGCCAAAAGACCTGAAGACACAGAGAGTTACAGAGTTAGTCCACAACATACACAAACAATAATATTAAAAACACCAAATTAAAACACTGAAAATATTTTAATATGGTTTAAATACCTCATTTGTAGATAATTATGCTGACTTTGAGTTTTTTTCATTACTACTTTTGAGACATTTTAAAATCACTGACTACAGTCCAAAATAAGGCATTTATTTATTTATTTTTAAGTGAATCAGGTATTTTCATTTCCAGCTCTATAATTTTAATCTTAGGTCTAGGAGAGTAGTTTTGTATGATTAACAATGTCTAATAGTTCTTATTGAGCTTTGGTGCTGCCCATCCAAATTAAAAGCTTTGAACAGAAGTGGGTGGTATTTATGAAAGATATCCACTCTCAGCGACATCATAGAGATGTCAAGATGTGGCATTACTGGGATTATTTACACATCCCAGCCTCGTTATCTGAGCTTTTAACATGAGCATCCATCACTGCAGCAGTGTATACATGACAGAAAGCAAAGAAAAGCCTAATACCTCCACTTCAGAGATATTTGTGGGGTTCAGTCTGTTATTGGAAAGCTGATGGAGCAGAGTGTGTGACATGGACCAAAGGATTGCAAATGACACCAAAGTAGCAGTTTCAGTTGTGTTGAAAAATATTAAAAACAAGGGAAGACTTGTTCTGAAAAAATCTAACTGCAAATCACTGCTTGTGATCCATCAGTTGATCTTTCTTCATTTTAATTTTAATAATGCTGTATCTGCATCCTTACCGAGGCCTCTGTAACAGGAGAGC